CTGGCACAAAGCCGGTTAAAAAAATTGTTATCCTCATTATTATTAACCCATTACTGTTGTAATGATTGCTTGATGGCTTCTCAGGTGGACCCTGATAAGAAAAACACATGTAATTTTGATTCTATAGAGCATACAGTTGAAAACAAACACCTGCATTTATAATGCTTATATGAATATTTGTATTCATTGCCATATGAGTAGATTATCTTTATGTGCCATACGCAGCAGTAACTCAAACCTACACACATGAAAGTATATGAATATCTAGGGCTAAGGCATTTAAATGTGGTTGCACCAAGAGAGCACTAGTTCAGCAGATCAGAGAAATATTAGCTTCCAGTTGGGTTGTTGAGAAGATGCACTAATCGTTTTCATCTTCTAGGGAGCAGTAATTCAGAGATTGTTCAGGGCACACTGTGCCCCCTCGAGCTGACGCTGGAGAACTAGGTTCTGTCCAGTCAAGTCAGAGGCTCATGAGGGGCTTCCACAGTTAGGTGCCGTTGAGCTGATTCTAGCTCATAGTGACCATCCGTACAACAGAACGAGCCACCCCCGTCCTGCGCCGCCCTCACAGTTGCTATGTTTGATCCCTTTGCTGCGGCCATATATCAGTTTACCTCATTGAGGGCTTCCCGTTGTTCCCTGACCTCTGCAAGCATGAGGTCCTTCTCTAGGGATTGGTCTATCCTGATAGCCTACCCAAAGCATGAGATGAAGTCTAAGGGACTTTCTAGCTGTACTTCTCCAAGACATATTTGTTTGTCTCTGGCAGTCCAAGGTAGTTTCAGTGTTCTCTGCCAATGTCATAATTCAAAGATGACACCGTGTGTGTGTGTGGGGGTGGTGGTGGTGGTTTTCCTTATTGTCCAGCTTTTCATGCATATAACGCTATTGAAAATGCAGTGGCTGGGGTCAGGTTCATCTTAGTCTTCAAAGTGCCATCTTTGTTCTTTAGTACTGTAAAGAAGTCTTTTGCAGTGGATTGGGAAAGGCAAACTATGCTTCATAAATCTAGGGGATTCTGCTAAACATAAGTAAGAAAACGAGGGTATTGTGAGATACACAGTTTTTCCAGAGCAAACACTGGCCATTGGATGCCCTTTCTCTGCCCAGAAGGGAAGCTATGGATGAGCTGACTTCACACTACTAGTGTTTGTCATTGTCTGGAAAGGCAGGAGAGGACTGGGACACCTTCTGAGACACAGCTTAAGATGCTGGACCACTTAGCAGCTCGGTCCTTAGCCAAGCTGTGTGGCCTTTTTGACCCACAGACTGCACATCTGTCACATGGGTATAGCACAAGCACTCAACCCATATGATGGTCACATGTTTAACATAATAGCGTATGCAACACGGCAACCAGTGGCGCTCCCCTTGACCTTCTCCTGCTGTGACCTGTGGCATCTCTGGGGGGGAGAGGTTGTGCTCTGCACTCTGGACCTGCCTTGTGTGGTGCAGTCAACAATCCTGGCAGCCATGGTTTGCTAGCTTCATTTCAAAACACGTTCTCTTTAGCTCTCTGACCCAAATCAGACAGGGCTTAATTGTCTGGCCTCGGAGGAATGGGCCGTCTCTCACATCTTCGGCTCACTGGTCCTGCCTCCCAGTTGGGGAATACTTGGGTGTTCCAGGAAGGACGTTCCCAAGTATCCGGAAACCTTGAAGGAAAGTGTTTTGGCACAAATTCCCCTTGTAATCGAAGACTGACAGCCTCGTGTTTTGAGACTCCTTTGGGGTGCCATTTAGAATTAGGAGTGCGTTGCTCTAGAGCAGCGGTTCTCAACCTGTAGGTCGTGACAAGGTTTGCCGATTCATAACAGTAGCAAGATTACAGTTATGAAGTAGCAACGAAAATACTTTTATGGTTGGGGGATGACCACAACATGAGGAATTGTATGAAAGGGTGGTGGCACGAGGAAGGTTGAGAAGCCCTGCTCTAGAGGCAGTATGTGAATTTAATGGAGCAGCGCAAGGATCGGTGATGATGGAAAGGAAGACTCCCCCAAAGAGTCACATTCTCTGCATTTCCCTTACCTCCCTAACTCACCCAGGGGAATGAGTGCCCACCACCATGAGACATTGTCCTTGGCTCTTAGGAGGCTCTCCATCTCATTCACGGGTCGTGAGGCCCTCCAGGGTTGAGTCACTGCCCTCCCCTCCTATGGCAACCTCACTCCGACCCTCGCCGGCCCTGCACTGAATGCCAAGCTCACGGCCCTTCTTCCCTTTGCTGCATGTGCTTTTCTTCATGTCAAGGGTCTGATTGCATTTACTGTTGGCCAAGGCCCCCAAATATTCCCAAGGACTCCCCTGCTCATCACTGAGGTCACATGCAAATACCACCAAACAGCTTTGCTCTGAACTCAGAGCCACAGTCCAGGGCCTCCCCCCCCACCCCCCACCCCTGCCGGCTGCCTCTCAGGTGTCTACTTAATCGTCCAGGAAATAATTGTGTTTGTCTGTTATATGTCTGTTTTCGTCATTAGTGGGCAGGTTCCACAAGAACAGGCTTTCCAACATGCAGAACACTGCCTGGCCATTGTAGGCACTCAGTAATTACCTGAGAATGCATGCCAGATACACAAATGAACGAACAACCAGTCATTTTTAGAATGACCCATTCACAAGGTCGCCAGGGCTCTCCATGGCAGCTTCCCCTTGTTTGATAGCCTGATGGCAAAAACCAATAGAAGCAGAGGTAAGAACATTGGTCCACCTGCAGCATTCACTGCTGTCTCAGTCCCGTTGCCATTCTCTGGAATTTGATTTGGAATCACGACCCACTGCAGACTCGTCATTGTTGTAGATGACGGAGGTGCTGTTCCCTGTTACAGGTAGAAGTGAACCCAGCCTGGTGCCAGCCTCCACCCAGACTTTGTGGTGACTTTTGCCCTACTTCCAAATCCCTTGAATATGAAGGAATTCTTTCCCCCATAGTATAGGATAAAGAGCTGGTTGGGGTATGTGTTATGCTTTAGAATTGACAATATATTTTTTCTTTAATAACCTGCTTGAATCCTCATAATGACCCTGGGAGAGCTAAGCAGGATACGTATCATTACCCCCATTTTGTCCAAAAAATTAAATTAAAATTAAGGCTCGGCAAGATAAAATGACCGATGGTCAAGCCAAAATCATCATAGTTTTTGGAGTGCTAGGTTCTAGACACGTTTTTAAGTCTAAACACTGGTAACTTTTCATTTATCTGAAAATCCTTAAGTACAGAAGCCTTTTCTGACCATCAGTAATTGGTTGTCCAGCTTTAAACTTCTTTAGAAAATAGATCGCCTTCATAATAAAACTGGGTGGTGGTTCTGGATTTGGTCATGCAAAGGCCTTCTTGGGCAGCTCCTTCCATTTACAGGTGAAGGTGGTAGAGGCTCAGAGAGGTTCAGGGACTAGCTCAGTGAGAGGCCAAGTTGGATCCATTTACCAGCTCTCAGCCCATCAGCCATTTCCTAGCAGGTGGAAAATCCCTTTTGAGCTTAATGGCTCTCTTTTCAGAGATGCGTGGTTTGAGTTCCCTGGATTCAAGGAAATGGTTTTCCACTGAGGGTTCCATCACAATCACTAGGAATAGCTTTCATTTGTATTTTTAGTTGTAAGGCCCTTTCCCCCCATTTACCTCTCCAACCACAGACTCAATGACCAGAGAAGAGTTGAGGGCATTTTTCTTGTCTTTTCCAAGAGGGTACATCTCATTTATTAGTACAGGAGATCAGATGGCCCACGGTTAAATCTGGTATACACTTGGTTTTGAATTATAGGCTCTGAGCTAAGTGTAGTATTTACAGACAAATACTTGTAATTGATTTGATATTTGGAAATACTATCTCTCAACCCCAAGTATGTGAAATGCTGTCTTCCCTCTCCAAAAAGGACCCCCGTTTTTCACTAGTAGGCCTGAAAGACAAGAAAACATTGTCGTCAGTGACTACCGTTGTAGTCACTTTTAATGCTGCCAGCAACATCTTTGTAAAAATCCATGTTTTATCTCATGCTATAAGTTCCCACATAACATCCTTAGATTTGCCTCGTGGCTCTCGAATCATAAGTAAGATATTTACTGTCTGGCTCTTCACAGGAAGAAAAAACACTTGGCCAACCCCTGTAGAGTGCCACTGTCCATTTGATATCAGGGCACTTTCCTTTCTCTGTATTCAGTGTATACTATAGGGGCTTTTCATGGTAAAAATAATACATGCTCCTGATCATGTTGCAGGTTTTAAAAGTATATGAAGTAAAAAGTGAGCAGGCCTGTTCTCCCACGTTACACTCAACAGCTGTAATGTGTCATGTTCTCTGTGTCGTCTTACTCGTGTCGTGGGGAGGTCTTAGTCCACCTCTTGCCTACAGAGTACCCCCTGGTTACACTGCAAACCCACTGCTGCCAGCATCATAGTGACCCTGCAGGGCAGCGTAGAAGTCCTCCTGTGAGTCTCTGAGACTGTAACTCTTGACGGTACAAGAGTAGAAAGCCTCCTCTTTCTTCCACAGAGCAGCGGGGGGTTTTGAACTTCTGCCCTTTACAGTTAGCAGCAGCCCAATGCGTTACCACTAGGACATCAGGGCCACCCACCCATTGGTTAAGCAAAGCTAATAACAGTTCCTACTTAAATGAGGTCATTCATGGGAAGTTCTTAGCACATTGCCTGGTATGAGGTGCTTAATTGAATTTTAACTAAGTTTTAATATGTGGTCCTTTTTTTTTCTTCTTTAAAAAAAGAACTGTACTGTGTTTTGTTTTGTTTGTAAAAAAACAACACTCAAGTCGCACAGGTGATTCTGAGGCCGAGTTGCATAAGAACTGCTGAAGAGAATACTGGAAGGTGGATCATTCTAGAATGTGGTTTGGGTTTGGAGTTTGGCCAGAAGTTGCTGCCTTATAGCGTAGCTTAGGGAGAGGGGAAGGCAAAACAGAAGGAAGGTGATGGGTTTATTTCAGTGAACCTATGAAATGGTATAAAATGCCTACAAGTAAGTTTTTATTTCTCTTCCAGGTCTACAACTCAAACAAGGACAGTCAGAGCGAAGGGAGTAAGTATGTTGCTTGGGTCATTTTGTACAGCTGGGCTTGGTTGGGGCTTAAAGAAGTTGCTGCCCTGGGGGTGAACCACCAGGAGGTGCTGTGGGCATGTTACCCTTTACCTGTTACTGTCCAGTGAGTGACCCTATAGGATCCAGTGGAACTGCCCCATATGGTTTCCATGCCTGTGATCTTTAATCAGACTCTGACATATATCTCCCATGGAGTGGCTGGTGGGTTTTGATTGGCAGCTTGACCGTCAAGGCTGTGAGGACACGTTTCATGTCTATAACCCTTCACGCTTTACAACGTGTTTCCATTGACCTTAGCTCATTCCACCCCAGCTCCAGCCGCCACTTTAAAAATCATTTACTTCAGTAATACCCAATTTCCCAACAGGCCTACCCCGGTGGGGGTGGGGGTAGGGGTGGAGGTGGGGGCAGAATTGACTTTGCCTTTTGTACAGTCATGCTCCAAGAATGGGAGCACAACACCTTTCTTAGGGAACTGCTTGAGCACTGTGGTCTTGGTTGCCTTTGTGGAGGGGTGAGAGTGGAGATGGTGAAGTATGAAATAATATCCCTTGTTGATGGAAGGGACCCCGGGCAGCCTCTAGAGTACAGTGAACCCTCGTTTATCGCGGTTAATCGGTTCTAGACCCTACCGTGATAAATGAAATTTCGCGAAGTAGGATTCCTTATTTGTAAATCAAATATTTTCGTAGTTAGAGCATAGAGGACATGAAAAAACACCCTTTAGTCACCATTACACTTGTATTACCCAATTTATTAAACGAAAAAGGGAAAATACAGTAAAACATTTTGGACGTTACAATGATCATTTATTATTTATTATATTATTTATGGCATCAAGCGTGTACAGTATGAGCCAATCAGTGGCAGTAATGACAGAGCATGCGCTGTTACGCAAAAACCGCAATAGAGTGAAGCCGCCGAAGTCGAAGCGTGAAGTGGCGAGGGTTCACTGTACAGCACCTTTTCCTGGCTACTGGCCACGGGCGCTGGCATGATTGTTCATCGGGATTTCCGAGGTCACATGTAACCCCATAGAGGTGAAGGGGCTGAAATGAAAGTGCTGCAGATGGAGCGTTGGGCCGGTGAGCTCTTCAGTGCACGGAGAACAAACAAATGCCATCCAGGTTGCTGTAGGAGGACACAGGCAGTCCTGCCCCCTTGCCTTGTATGACCCACCTGGAAAGGGGGGTCAAAACCATCAAAGGTGGCCTGACCATGAATTCTGGGGAAATCCGTACAACACTGCCTCCCTATGTAGACAGAAAAACGCACTGTTCTTATGGGAAAACCATTTTACTGAGATTGTCCTCTGTGTTCTCTCCAAAATATGGATTTTTTTAAACCAGGATTTTTATATAAAGAGCTTTGGAATGGCTAGTGTGAAGAGAGGCCTTTATACAAGGAAGAGGGGGTAGTTCTCTCTCCCCTCCCCTCTTCCAAGTTTTAACAAAGGAATATATTTTCAAGTAAATACTTGATGTTATCAAAGCGTTTAAAAAGTCCCCTCTCTGTATCGTTGCCTACGCTGAGGATCTATTGTCTTATAATGGCCATTGATCGCTTGCATTTATTGACCACCAGCCTTGTATCAGGCTCTCAGTACGTTTTACACACAGTCTCTCCGTTAGTGCCTGTGAGCGAGGGCCTTTTGACCCACCTTGTAGCTAAGAAGACTGAGGCTGGCCAACTCAGGGATACGGCTTCATGCAAGTCTGCCAGACTCCAAAGTCTCCACGAGGACCATCTCTTTCCCTAAGGAGAGAGCAATGCCTAGAGTTCCGCTTTGGGAAACAGACACGTGCAGTGCGTCCTGTCATTTACAGAGGGAGGCGAGGCGCCCACCTCCAATAGCTACTGAGTCTTACCCTTTCTTCAAGCAACTGGGTGTGGAAAAATGGGCTGGAAACATTGGCTGCTTTTTCAGAAGAAGATAGAAATTATTTTTCTAGAGGATTCAACTAGCAGTATAAACACCATTCTAAAGGAGAGCCAGGCAGCATATAGAGTCTTGGGTTGATGCTTCCCGGTGCCATCTGGCATAAGCCCTCCCTTCTCAGTGCACCTTCTTAGCTCCGCCCACTGGAAGTTGTCCTTTGACTCTTGATTGCAGAAGTGTTGCAGTTTCCCTCCAGCCCCACCCACCAGGCTAGGTGCCACCATTGTCTTGCATTCCGGTGGTTCTTTAACTCCCTTAGTCTAGGATCCAGACTTTTTAAACAAAAGTAGTTTTATTGGCATATATTTCACCCGCCCTGCAAGTTAATCGTTCAATCAGATACGATTTGTGCAGTCATCACCACAATTGATTTCAGAGCATTTCTTCTTGTACTCACTGTTGTTAGCTCTCCATCTTCCCCGTGCTCCCCTGCCATGCTCCTGTGCAGTTACTGTCGCTATAGATCTACCCGTCCTGAATTTCATTTGATGGGAAATTATAAGAGAGAACATTGATATTTTTACCTCCAGCATCCGATTTTCAAATAGTTAGTCCCCCCCCCCAAAAAAAAAAGTTTTGCAGGGAACTTTTGAATGCATGCATTTGACTATAGATCCGCAAGCTGTGGCAAAAGGAAATTCCTTTGGGGACATTTTCTATTTTGCCGCCTTTGACATGAGGTCTCTCTTCAGGCGCACACTGCTTGTGAGGTGCCCCTGAACCATAGCTCACCTGGGTACAGCAGAACAAAACCCTGTCCGTCCCTGTTGGGTATAATGCAGGGCCAGAAGTAATATCTGGAGAATGCGGGTCTTTTCCAAAGGGCCCAGGCACCAGGAAGAAGATGGAGGCTGCTCTGTCCACGTACCTTTATCGACAGAGCTTCCTCTCTCCACTTGTCTTCTCCCTTCTCTCCTGAGACACAGTACAGAGGTGTGGATTCATCATCCGGCCCCCAGCGCATGGTGGTCACAGTCACTGTTCCAAACCAGGCCCCTCGACTACTTGTTGTTTCGGTATTTCATTCTCTACCCCATTCCTGTTTCTTTCCTTCCTTATAGGCCATCATGCTAATGCGTACTTTAAAAATGTATTTCTGGGCAATGTGTTTGTCTTTTTGATCTGCCTGTGCTTTCGGTGTTTATTAGTGGTTATTTATCTTGTTGATTTTGATCTGTTTCTCACTCTGGTCCTGCAGTGTTCTGTTAAGAGCCACCTGTTTGACGATGAGTAATTCTAGATCGCTGTTTCTGATGGTGTCGCCCTGATTTCTGACTCTCTGGTGGATGCCAGCCCTCCCCCAACCCCACCCCTCCACCCCCCAAAAGCCTGCGACTCTTCTCACCACACACCACACAAGGAACTTATTCGTGCATGTGCCTCTGTGTGGAAAAGGTTTGGGGATATAGCCAGGAGGGCAGTTGCTGCCCTGAAGGGCTGCATAGGCTTAGGACAGTTCGAGTCCCCTCTTCTGCTTTCCTGGAGTGGTCAGTCCACATTGCTCACAGTCCTGTGTGTGGATCTCTCCATCCCTGGGAGCTCTCACCAGTACTCGGCTTTCTGCTTTTGCCAATCGAGTTAAATACAAAATGACTGCTCCTTGTGGTTTCCATTTCTATGATAAGTAATGAGTGTATGCATCTCTACATATGCCTGTCAGATTTCCTCTTCCTTAAATTACTTGTTCCTGGCCTTCACCCATTAAAAAATTAATATTGTTGTGATATTTTCCGTGCATTCTACCATCTAGATATTAAGTCTTTGTTAGCTTCATACACATTACTGTCCGATTAAGTCTGACGTAAGAGTGGCCCTTCAGGTGTTGTAATATCTATGGAGTCAGCCTTCCACATCACTCCCCTGCAGAGGAGCTGGTCAGTGGGAATCTCTAACCTTTTGGTAAACAGTCAAGTGCTGAAAAGGTGGCGTGATGGCCACGTCTGACCTCCAGGTGAAAAGAGAATCCAGTTCTACATCTGCCAAGACCGATTCATATGAGGCCGAAGTCAGATATGCCTCCACTCTCCCATCTCTTTACCCTCTTCCGACACTAATCATCCCTTCCATGACACTCGACTTCCCTGTTGGGCTCTACCATGGCCAGCCACAACTCACAGAAAGTAGTCGTAATGAGGGGTTTATGGGGAAAGTTGATAGGTGATCACTAGTCATGATCAGAGAGCATGAAGGATACAGTCCGAGGCTCTTCAGCCATTGCAGCAGCCACATCTCTTTGGTACTTAGTTCCTTGGCCACAAGACTCATTGGTCTCTGTCTTTCTTGGGCAAATATTAAAATGCTGCTTTACCATCGAAAAAATACTTACAGGACACCTTACTCTGCCAGTCAGCATCCTGCCCCCTGTCAGGCAGCTTTACTTGTTCTGTGGGCTGGGAGGCCCATCACCATTTCACGGTCTTCATGCTGCACCTCTGCTCTGTTTCATGGTGTCAGTGCTGCAGCCTCTGGTGCTTCTGCCACTTCAGTCAGGGACCCCCACTCATTCTACTGGTGGCTCTTTTGTCTTGGTAGTCATGCGAGTCCTCTGTTTATACCTCTGAGGTGGCTCACTTTATAACCAATGAACTGGCGACACTGACCGGGCCCAAATTTAAGAGCCCTCTATGTCTTATTTTCAGGTAGCCCCCCAGTCACTGAGTGGAAGTTACAAAGACTGTGGGTAGAAGAGCCATGCCAAGCAATTTCACTGCACCACAAGTGCGTAACCATGGTACCCAAAGGGATTTTTTTCTTGTAACTTTTAGATATTCTAAAGAGATTTTCCCACACTGTCACCTGCCTGTTGATATTATGTGTAGTACCCTTCACTGACCATAAAACATCATTTAAAATATAGTTTTTACATAGAATTTAATTTTTTCCCTTCTGGTTTGTGCTTCTCAAGTTGCATTTTAAATAAGTCCTTTCCCACTGTGTCAGAAAGGTGTGTATATCTATTTTCCGTTACTGACGTTCTGTTTTTGCCTTTTACATTTATGTTTCTAATCCCACTGACATCCACCATTGTATGGTGTTTCAT